CTCTTGTGTTCTTAACTCTCTTTATTATCTATGTCTTGGATCTACAAGGCCCATAGTCTTCCTATGGGCTCTTTGCCTTTTGACAAACATCCACAGTGCTTTCATCTAAAGTCTCTTAGTAGGGGCAGGAATATGCTTTTCCTTATGAACAATCTGTGTGGGGAATATCCGTCTGATCTGGAATATTGTGAGGCCTGGTCAGTACCCGCAGGCTCATTTCCAGCATGAGCCAGTAGTCACAGAAGGAGATACCAGTTTTCACTTCTCACGGCGGGAGCTGTGCAAACGCAGCCGTTTCCTCGCTGTGACTGTGTCATCCAGCGAGGCCAGTGTGGCTCCCAGCAGTATCTCCTGAATTTTCTCTGCTGAGTTGCCTTTATTCATTTGTCAAAAATCAGCTGTTCGTGTATGTGTGTGTCGGTTGAATTCCCAGCTCTGTTCTGTCCCGTCCATCTGTCGTGTCTTCACACCAACACCGTATCGTTCGATCTGCTCTCACTTTCTGCCGTCATGACCTGGGCCCAGTCTGGACCCCTCGCTGTCCCCACACGCCCCTGAGTGCCCTGCCCGGTGCCTGTGAATTAGATGGTGTGGGTTTCCTGGCTGGCTGGTGTGGGAAGGCTCTGTTCCCAGGCCTGATCGGCTCTGGGGAGTGTTTTCAAATCCTGTTGGGTATTTTCCCCGAGCATGGGTAGTTTCCATGTATGCATATTCTGATCTGTAGTCTGATGCTGCAGGGAGGACCTTGCAGATCTCCAGAGCACTGTCTCTGCTGGGCTCTGCCTCAGTTTACCCCTCTGTGCTGCAGTCTGGAGCTGTTTTTGTGAGTAAGGTGGGTGGCCGTAGGGCATGACCCGTTTGATCCCACCTCTCAGCAATCACTGCCCTTTATTGGCCAGTGTCCAGTGTCTTAAAACCTTCGTTTTATATATTTTGCCCCCACCCCTGTCACTGTAGGCTGTAGGCTGAAGGGAAATCATATCCCTGTTACTCTGTTTAGGTCCAAAACCCCACTTGAGAAAAATTAAAGCGTGCATTCACAGATATGTGTGTACAGGTGTGTCGTATGTATTTTTTAAAAACCAGGGGCGCCTGGGTGGCTTAGTCGGTTAAGAGTCCGACTTTCGCTTAGGTCATGATCTCGTGGTTCGTGGGTTCGAGCCCCGCGTCGGGCTCTGTGCTGACTGCCAGCTCAGAGCCTGGAGCCTATTTCAGAGTCTGTATCGCCCTCTCTCTCTGACCATCCCCTGCTCACGCTGTCTCTCTCTCTCTCTCTCTCCTAGAAATAAAAACAAAAAAAACCCAAAAACGGGCACCTGGGTGGCTCAGTTAGTTAAGTGTCAGACTTAGACTCAGGTCATGATCTCATGGCTCGTGGGTTCAAGCCCTGCATCAGGCCCTGTGCTGACAGCTTGGAGCCCGGAGCTGCTTCAAATTCTGTCACCTTCTCTCTCTGCTCCTCCCGTCCTCATGCTCACTCTCTCAAAAATAAATAAACATAAAAAAAAAAAAAAACATATTCACAGGAGGGTGGGGCACATGGGTGGCTTAGTCGGTTGAACGTCTGATTCTTAATTTCAGTTCAGGTCACGATCTCATGGTTTGTGAGTTCGAGCCCAGGATTGGACTCTGGGCCGCTGCACAGAGCCTCCTTGGGATTCTTTCTCTCTGTCTCAACTTCTGCCCCTCCCCTGCTTGTGTGCTCTCTCTCTGCCTCCCAAAATAAATAAACATTAAAGAATAAAATAAAAAGGCAGGCTCTTTAGAATGGGGGACAGAGTTCTAAAAATACACACCTGGGGCACCTGGGTGGCTTCGTCGGTTAAGCGACCGACTTTAGCTAAGGTCATGATCTCGCAGTACATGGATTCAAGCCCCGCGTCGGGCTCTGTGCTGACTGCCGGCTCAGAGCCTGGAGCCTGTTTCAGTCTGTGACTCCCTCTCTCTCTGACCCTCCCCTACTCGTGCTGTCTCTCTCTCTCTCTCTCTCCTAGAAATAAAAAAAATAAATAAAAATAAAATTAAAAAAAAAAAAACAAAAAAAAAAAAAAAAATTAAAAAAAAAAAAAAAAAAAAAAAAAAAAAAAAAATAAAAAAAAAAAAAAAAAAGAAAAAAAAGAAAAAAAAAAAAAAATTCCGTTTTATGTTATTCTTTGATGTTTTACTGACGTGTGGACTACTTGGTCAACAGAAACAATCGTAGAAATCCAGAATCCAGGAAAAGACACTGAAGGACAAGACATCGAGTGCCATGCAAAAAAAAAAAAAAAAAGTACATCCATATTTAGACCAAAAAGAACACATAGCCTTGTGCACATTAGTGGCTGTTTGCCAGAGTGACCTCGGCAGGCGGGTTAGCGTTCGGAACGCCCGCGTCCACCAGCCCGGACGTCAGCGCTTTGCCCCCCCCGCCCCCAGGCGAAACGCCCCCGGCTGGCGGGTTGGGTTCGCTGGCTGACGGCGAGCTGTGTCTTCGCAGCTTTTCGTGGCTAAGAGCCGGGTGTTGGCTCCAGAAAACTTCCAGCCGCTTCCGCAGCTGACCCTCTGCCCGCTGCGATCTCGGAGCCACGGCAGCTCCTGCCCCAGCGTGTGTGACCCCATCCCCCCCCGCCCCCCCAAGTCCGCCGGCACCGCCCCTCCCCCACGGCCGCCCGGTCCCGGGCCGCTCTCTGCCCCAAGAACGCAGCACCCCAAGGTGACGAAACCACGAGCGTCCCTCCACCTTAAGCCCCTCTGACACCTTTCCCGCCGGGAGAGGAAAACAACTCCCAGCACAACCGACTGGTCGGGGCCACGGCCCTAGGGTGGGGGGACCGCTTCAATCCCTGCCCTGCCTCTAACGCGCTCTGTGCCCTTGAGTGTGTGACTTCCTTCTCAGCCTCCGTTTCCTCTTCTGTAAAATGGGCACAATCCTAAGAGTACCTAAGTTGCATATGGTGGTCAGGGCCAATCGGACGATACGAGCGACTGCCTAGCGCTGTGAGTGTGTACCTGACGCCGTCTGTGCGCCGGGCGCCGCCGCAGGAGCCGCCGACACACTCGCTTCCCACGCGTGTGGGCGTGGGGCTGGCAACCGGCGGGTCCAGGGGCGGATAGGGAAGACGCCTGCGGAGGAGCGTCCGCTGAGGGCCGACGGCTGAGCGGGCGGCGGGGGCGCGCAGCTCGCGGAGGCCCGGAGGCAGAGTGACCTTGGCGGGGACACCTTGGCCCAGAGGCAGGTGTGGCCGCCAGCAGGTGAGCAGGGGCGGAGGGCAGGGGGCGGGCCAGGTCAGGAGAGGGCCTGGCTCGGCCTAAGGAGCGCGTGGGCCGGGAGGGCACCGGGGGTCAGCACCCCGGGAAGACGCTGCAGGGTTCGGGCTGACCCCTAAGAAGCGCCTCCGGCCGCTGAGCGGAGAGCGCCGTTCGGAGGTGAGGGTGGTGCGTTCCGGGCGGGGGTCCGGGTGCCGGACTGGGTCGGGCGGGCAGACGGCGAGGGTAGGTCCGGTCCAGGCCGATGTGGTGTCCAGCGGCTCCTGTTGACAGTTTGGAGGGCGGGAGGGAAGGGAAGGGGTGAGTCAAGGGTGACTGCCGTGTCTTTTATTTTATTTCATTTCATGTTAATTTCATTTCATGTTATTTTATTTCATTCCATCTTAATTTTATTTCATTTCATGTTATTTATTTTCTATTTTATTTATTTCATTCCATTTTATTTTAACTTAATTTTATTTCCTTTCATGTTATTTCATTTCATGTTCATTTCATTACATGTTATTTTATTTTCTATTTTATTTTATTTCATTCCATTTAGTTTTTATTTTATTTCATGTTGCGGTAAGATATACATAAAATTTACCATGGTAACAGTTTTTAGTTGTACAGTTTGGGGGTATTGGGTGCATTCACACTGATGTGCTGCCCCCTGAACCCCTTTCAGCTGGCAGACTGGGCCTCGGTCCCCACTAAGCGGGAACTCCGCCCCAGCCCCTGGCGCCACCTACTTTCTGTCTCTGTGGATGTGATGACTCAGGGACCTCGCGTCCCTGGACTCCTACAGTATGGGTTCTTCTGTGTCTGCCTGACTTCGCTGCAAGTCTCTTTCCTGAGCCTTTCTCTTTATCGTTGTGTTTGGAGGGGCAGGGGCCCCGTTTGCAGGTAGGCTTTCCGGTATTCCAGCGGAGCTCAGAGTCGGGGCTGGGCGTGCAAGTTGGGGAGGCATCAGCATATAGAAGACCCTGAATTCCAGACCCCTCTGGCACGGCTGCATGATTTAGGGGAGGGGTCTCACACTCCAGTGGCTGTGGGCTGGTGGGGGTTCAAGAGGGCGAGCTTCCCCTCCTGGGTCTTGCTGCCTTCTGGGAAGGAGGGCTCCACGTGGAGATTTTTGTGCGAGGACCTCTCGGCTTCTGCGTGTTGGGAATGAAGCCGCTGGACCCTCGATAGAGTCTGGAACTCAGGAGAGTCCCCTGGAGGGGAAATGGAGATTTAGAGACGACAGGACGCGCTGGGAGGGGACTGGAGCGCAGGGCTGTGATTGCCAGGGAGGAGGGGTGGATGTGCAGAGGCCAGGGGGTCTGGGCGGCAGAGGAGGGGGTGAGGGGCACCCGGAAGGCCTCGGAGCGCGGGGCTTGGCTGGCAGTTGGGGGCATAGAGGACAACCAGCGCCCGCCACGGAAATGTCAGCTATGACCTTAGCTTTCTAACAACTGACGCTTTGAGAAGCCTCCGCGGTTGGGGGTTTTGGGGGTGACTCTGGGGGTGACCATTGGGAACCCCTTGCCCGGGTTCCTAGAGCTGGTCCGCCCGCTCCAAGCCCGGTACCCCCTGTCGTTTCGTGCGGGCGGCTCTCCGCTGGCCGTGCGGGTCTCCGCTCCCCGAAGGGACAGGCCCGGTTCCCTCCGCCTTGCGTGCGCCCCGCTTCCTCGGACCACCTGGCGGCCGGCTCGCCCCGCGCGCGGCAGGTTCCTTGCGCCCCTCGTCGTTAACTCCGTGTGTCTCGTCTTCTCTCTCCCCTCCCTCAGACTTGGAGTCTAGACCTGAAATGAAGGGATCGGGTCCAAAGGAGGACACTGCAGAGCACAGGCCACCCGTCGGGGCGGTGGCCGAGAGACCCACGAGGAACGGTGCCTGCGGCCTGGCCTTCGAAGGCGCGTGGACACGGGGTGACTGCGTGGAGAAGCGGCCGCAGCGGGGCGCCAGGACCTGCCTGGGGCGGTCGGAGGGCCCCCAGGAGCTCGCCCCCGAGTGCCTGGAACCCCAGGCCGTCCCCCCGCAGAGCTCCAGCCTGCGCCCGCCGCCGGCGGAGGGTCGGGGGCCCGCGGGGGCCCAGCCGCGCGCCGCGCGCCGCGCAGACCGCAGCCGGCGCCCCCGGCGGGACGCGGAGGGAAAGCCGTTCGCGTGCGCCGCGTGCGGCAAGGCCTTCAGCCGCAGCTCGTCGCTCGTGAAGCACCGGAGGACCCACACCGGGGAGCGGCCCTTCGAGTGCGACGTGTGCGGGAAGCACTTCATCGAGCGCTCGTCGCTCACCATCCACCGCCGGGTGCACACCGGGGAGAAGCCGCACCGCTGCGGGGACTGCGGCAGGGCCTTCAGCCAGCGCATGAACCTGATCGTGCACCAGCGCACGCACACGGGCGAGAAGCCGTACGCGTGCGCCGCGTGCGGCAAGGCCTTCCGCAAGACCTCGTCCCTGGCGCAGCACGAGCGCGTGCACACGGGCGAGCGGCCGTACGCGTGCGGGGACTGCGGCAAGGCCTTCAGCCAGAACATGCACCTGACCGTGCACCGGCGCACGCACACGGGCGAGAAGCCGTACGCGTGCGCGGAGTGCGGGCGCGCCTTCAGCCAGAACATGCACCTGACCGAGCACCGGCGCACGCACACCGGCGAGAAGCCGTTCCGCTGCGGGGACTGCGGCAAGGCCTTCAACAAGAGCTCGTCGCTCACGCTGCACCGGCGGAACCACACGGGCGAGAAGCCGTACGCGTGCGGCCAGTGCGGCAAGGCCTTCAGCCAGAGCTCCTACCTGATCCAGCACCAGCGCTTCCACATCGGCGTCAAGCCCTTCGAGTGCAACGCGTGCGGCAAGGCCTTCAGCAAGAACTCGTCGCTCACGCAGCACCGGCGGGTGCACACGGGCGAGAAGCCGTACGAGTGCGCCGTGTGCAGGAAGCACTTCACGGGCCGCTCGTCCCTGCTCGTGCACCAGACGGGCCACACGGGCGAGAAGCCGTTCGCGTGCGGCGAGTGCGGCAAGGCCTTCAGCCAGAGCGCGTACCTGATCGAGCACCAGCGCATCCACACGGGCGAGAAGCCGTACCGCTGCGCGCAGTGCGGCAAGGCCTTCATCAAGAACTCCTCGCTCACCGTCCACCAGCGCACGCACACCGGCGAGAAGCCGTACCGCTGCGGCGAGTGCGGGAAAACCTTCAGCCGCAACACCAACCTCACGCGCCACCTGAGGATCCACACGTAGGTGCGGCGCGGGCGGTGCAGACGCGGGCCCGGGCAGCTCGCGCCAGGCGGGCCTGACGAGTGCGGGCGTGAGCACGGGCCCTCTCGCTGCGGGGCGCCTGCCAGGCCGCAGGAGGAAGGCAGGCCCTCCGCGTCTAATGTACTTGGGAACGTGGTCGGGGTCGCTGGGGCCGGGTGCTCACGGGAGCCCCAAGACCCGGGCCATCAGGGTTCGGGGCCATGGCAGTGGACTGTAAGAGCCGGGACGAAGCATTTAGTGTCCCCGGGGGACACTCAGGGGTAAAGCGGAGGAGGGGGCAGCTGGGAAGGGGAGGTGGACTCCATAAGTGAACGTGGGGACATTTGGGACCCTAGTCTGGTCCAGATGCCAGGTTGGCACCCTCCTGAGTTTCTCCTGGGGTGGAAGGAGGGGCCCCTCCTCCGTCCCTCTGCCTGTCCCCAAGCCACCAAAGCAGCAGAAGGTGGCAAGCTGTGTGTGACAGGGAAGAGGTCTTTTTCAGAGTCAGCAAATAACAATAAGCACTTTGGATGCCCAGGTTTCTCAGAGCAGTCTGTTCATTTTTTTTTTTTCAATAAAACTTTTAAGGGTGTAATTTTTTTTTTAAAGTATTTTTATTTATTTCTAGGAGAGAGAGAGAGACAGCGTGAACAGGAGAGGGTCAGAGAGAGAGGGAGTCACAGACTCCGAAACAGGCTCCAGGCTCTGAGCTGGCAGTCAGCACAGAGCCTGACGCGGGGCCCGAACCCACGAACCGCGAGATCATGACCTAAGCGAAAGTCGGACGCTCAACCGACTAAGCCACCCAGGCACCCCGGGTGTAATTTTTTAAAAATGTATTTATTGAGAGAGTGGGGGGGGGGGGCACAGAGAGCATCCCAAGCAGGCTCCACGCTGTCAACACAGAGCCGGACACAGGCCTGGGTCTCGTCAACGGTGAGATCGTGACCTGAGCCCAAATCAAGTCGGATGCTCAACCGGCTGGGCCCCCGGGCGCCCCGAGAGACCAGGGTCATGTTATGTTAAACCCTTGTCGGGTGCACAAGATACAGGAGCCAGTTCTGCCATCAAAATCAGTCTCCTCCTCATGGGGGCGGGGGGAGGGCAGGCGATTCAGGTGTAAATCCTTAACTGCGTTTAGTCAGTATGCGTTTCTGAGCACAGACTGCCCGTTTTTATAGCTATAGAATTCGAAGGCAGGTCCAAGTGAGTCTCCTGAGGCTGACCTGATGCTTTGTTTACGTGAATAACTCCCCCCGAGCTCTTTCTTGGGGGACCTTTGATGCTGCCTTTTCTGTTTTAACATTCGATGCCACTCGTCCCAAATGCCTGGTGTTTGTGCCCGTCCTACGCTTCCTCTCGCTGGTGTCCACAAAGAATAAACCATTCGCTTTGAGAAAGCATTTCTATCAGTACACACGTTGTGTCGTGAGTAGGAAACGTGACTGCTCAGAGCGTGTTACCAAGGTGGACAGGTTTTTGGGTGTCTGGCAGCCGGATGGGCATCAGGGTGGGTATGTTCCAGGCGCGCAGCATCAGAAGCGTAGCTCTGGTGCTTGGTTGTGTGGCGTGCGCTTCCTGTGCCGGCCGTCTGGGTGGAGACGGCTCTGGCGGTCAGTGACTCACACACCTTGAGCTTCCTTCTGTCGGGCTCACCCGCAAACTGACTCCCGTGACCAGAGAAACACCATGTGCTGCCTGGCCTGGGTCTGGGTCTCGCCCTCGTCCCTAGCGGCAGCGAGGAGCTGGGAAGATGGCCCAGATGGGCCTGAGCACTGTGAGTCCTTGATGTGGACATGGGGTCCTCCCATCCGGATCACACTCCGGGGCACGTGGGGGGGCGTGCAGAGAAGGCGGCCCCATGTCGTCAGGCCCTGGGGGGCTCACGGGGCTTAAAATCTCACAGCCACCCTGGCGCTGATCCTCAGAGTGAGGCCGCGCTGCTGCACAGGACGTTTCCTTCCGGAAGTGCTGTCCCTGCCCGTGGTCGCCAGGAGGGCCCTCAGTCACCTCTGTCCTCCCGTTAACTCTGACACGGGGCAGGGCTGCATGGGGCCGGCCAGAGGGCGCCCCCATAGCTGAGACTCAGCCTCACATCCGCTTGTCCCTGTCCCCACACTCCGTGCCTGACATCTGCGCGGGGGTGGCTGGGAGGCGTGGGGCTCAGCTGTCCGCGGTGACAGAAATCCGTAGCAGCGCGCGCAGAGGCCCTGTGGCGAGCGATGACAAGCGTGAACGGTGGCTGGACGGGGACCGAGCCCCGGCCGCGGCTGCCCCAGCCTGAAACGAGGCAGTGAGGCCTCTGGGGCTGCTGTGCAGGCAGTGCAAGTGGACCCGACACGGAGCCTCTAGCACGGCCCCCTCGCTCTCTGTCTCTGTCTCTCGTTCTCCAAAGAAAACAAACCCAGTCCCGCCCCAGGTGGTCAGCTAGGTCCCTCCAGGGACCCGTGTCAGGGCCAGTCAGTGTGTCCCAGCCCGCAGCCCGGAGACGCTGCTCTGAGAAGGCAGGTCTGCCCTTCGGAAGCGGACCACGTGTGGCCCACGTGGCTCCCACTAGGATCCTGCTGGTGGCTGGTTCCCCACGCATCTGGGCGCAGGCTGTCAGGAGGGGCACACAGAAGCCTGCCCTGCGGGGTGGGGAGGGGCTGGGTGTCCGGCGGCTGGAGCCAGTCGGCTCGTCCCCTCGCGCCTGTGCTTCCTTCCCTTCTGCCACCGGCGCCGTCTGGGGTCCACACTCTGCTGGCACCTCCACCGCAGTGCTGAGATGAGGCCATCCGTGTCTCTCTGCCACACCTCCCAGCTCTCCCAGAATGCCACGGGGCGGAGGGGTGAGGCGAGGAGGGCGGCAGCTCCCCTTCCCCTCACCACCACCTTGTTCGAGAAATCGGGACAGGATGGGGGACACTGAGGCCGGGGACAGAGGCAGGCCCTGGTGGGCACTCATTCTGCGACAGCGCCTGGCCGCCGAGATGGGGGCCACCCTAAGCCCGGATAAGGATCGTGCATGGTGCAGCTTACGTTCAAGAGCCATGGGGCAGCAGGGGTGAGGGAGAGGAGCAGGAGAGCCGTAGCCTGGCAGGCGAGACTCCCTGCAAAGGGCCCAGAAGAGGGATGGGACGTCCAACACGGTTTTCTCTCGAGGGGGCCGAGGGGACGTGACCTCACGACAGCTAGCATTTACGGGGCACACCTGGGCGACAACCTGGTGTTCTCCCGGCGCCCGCCAGGCGGCAGGTGGCGGAGCCAACGCTCAGAGATGCTCAGAGGCTGCAGTGAGGTCACCCGGCCTGGGCCTGGGCGTGAGGGGCTGGGATCAGCATGGGGCCGGCCTGGGCAGGGGCCCCACTCCCCCCGCCTTCACCGACCCCCAACAGGAAGACAAGTGGCAGTTTTTGTATCATTTAACACAAATTTCCTGAGTCATCGAAAATGAGTTAATACCTGTAAAACTTTAGAACAGCACCTGGCAGGTAGGACAACATAACGTAGTGAGTACCTGCTGTTGTGACCACCGCTGCAGCAAGAAACCAGGCCCTCGCTCCACGAATGAAGGAAAGGGACTAAATAATGGCGCCAATAGGGACAGAGGCTCCGAAGCCGGGCTGCCTGCCTGGGTTTAAATCCAGACTCTGCCCTTGCTGTGTGGCAAGTTTCTTAACCTCTCTGAACCTCGTTTTCCTCATTCGTAAAATACGTTACAGAAAACAGTGCTGTAGGCTGAATGGTTTGTGCCCCCTTGAGAGGTGATCGAAACATTTTATATATGTTTGTCTGTGCCCCGGGTTCCTGGGACAGAGCCCCCACATCGCTTGGAGTTTCCTGGGTGATAGCAGTGTCTCCCGTTCCAGTGAGGTGACTCTGGGTGGGCCCCTGGAAGCCTGTCACCGGAAAGACCAAGCCATGATTAGATGGTTGGGATTTTCAGCACTGCCCCTCCCCCAACCCAGTCTCTAGCGAGGGGGGAGGGCTGGAAATGAAGTTAATGATTGACCATGCCTGCGGGATGAAGCCTCCATAAAATCCTGAACCCAGGCCTTCACAGAGCTGTCAGGCTGGTGGACACACCCCGACTTCGTGGGACCCTGCCAGACCCTGCCCCGTGTGCCTCTTCATCTGGCTTTTCATTTGCATCCTGTATCACATCCTTCCATCATAAACCAGTAATGTAGTGAGTGAAATGTTCCTGAGCTCCATGAACCCCTCTAACACATTAACCAAACCCAACGACGGGGATTTGGAAAATTTTTTAAAGTTTATTTATTTATTTTGAGAGAGAGAGCACACACATTCATGGGAGGGAGGGAGAGAGAGAGTGAGAGAGAGAGAGAGAGAGAATCTGAAACAGGCTTTGTGCTGACAGCTCGAACCTGTGAATCGTGAGATCGTGACCTGAGTGGAAATCAAGAGCCAGACGCTTAACTGACTGAGCCACCCAGTCAGAAGGGTAGGTGACAGTCTGGACTTGTGAATGGGATCTGAAACCATGGGGCAGGGGGGCTGTCCTGTGAGCCCGAGCCCTTAACCTGTGGGATCTGATGCTGCCTCCAGGTGGACAGTTGAGTCAAATTGTAGCACACCCAGCTTGTGTCAGAGAATTGTCTGGTGTCGGGCAAATCCCCACACATCTGGTACCCAGGAGAAGTGGGTGTTCTTCTACTCATACTTCATATATAATTTATAGTTAAATATCACACACATATAAACATATATAATATATACATTATATAATTACACTATATATACTATAAAATATACATAATATATTTCATATAATATATAAAATAAGATTATTTTATTTTTTAGTGTGTTTTAAAAAATTTTTTGAGAGAGACTAGGGGAGGGCAGAGAGAGAGGGAGACACAGAATCTGAAGCAGGCTCAGGCTCCGAGCTGTCAACACAGAGCCCAATGTGGGGCTCGAACTGATGAACTGTGAGATCGTGACCTGAGCCAAGTTGGATGCTTAACTGACTGAGCCACCCAGGTGCCCCAATTTTTTAAAAGTTTATTTATTTGTAATCTCTACACCAAGTATGCAGCTTGAACTCATGACCCTAAGATCAAGAGTTGCATACTCTACCAAGTCAGCCAAGAGCCCCTAAAATAAGATACTTTAAGATGTATATATAAGAGGGGCGCCTGGTGGCTTAGTTGGTTAAGCATCCGACTTTCGCTTAGGTCATGATCTAGCGGTTCGTGGGTTCGAGCCCCGCGTCGGGCTCTGTGCTGACTGCCAGCTCAGAGCCTGGAGCCTATTTCAGAGTCTGTGACTCCCTCTCTCTCTGACCCTCCCCTGCTCATGCTGTCTCTCTCTCTCTCTCTCCTAGAAATTAAAAAAAAAAAGAAAAAAATTTTGAAAAAAAAAAAAGATGTATATATAAGATACATATACAGTGAGATAGGCTATGTATGATATACAGTAAAATACATTATATCTATAATGTAATAGACATTATATCTACGTCTATATAATATGATATACGTGTAAAATAAGACAGGGCTTGTTTTTCTGAAGAAGCCTGAATGACACAAGGTCCCTGCCGAAGCATCACCTTCCTGACTTCCCTCTTTGAAACTGTA